CTCCAGTCCCATGAAGCATGAGGATCTCCTCTGTTGTTCTCCTCAGACGGGCAGGAAGGAAGGGGAGGTGTTTGCCTGAGTGCCAGGCACTTCCACATCAAGAAATAAGCACTTACTTAGAATCTCAGTCTGTTGATTGTTCACCCCTTCGGAGGACAGCTCACAGAGATGATATGAGAAGGGTGAAATCAGAAAACCTCTTAGTTATATTCTGTGACTCCTCAAGACGGAAAAATGACACCTGTTTCTAATGAGTAGTTTCCCAGGCAGTTTAACTTTTTTGAGTCTTAACCTGCCTCTTTTAATATAAATGGAATTCTCCAGCTTTCTTCCCCATTTTTTCTGACCAAAATTTTGATACAGACCTCTTTAAGTACTCATAAGATTTGTTAATCTAGAGACTCATTATCTTGTTTTAATAGAATGTTGTCCTTTTCTAAAATACTTTACATTTAAAAAACAACTTTAAACGGCAATATGCACATGCATCATTTCTGAACGCAATGAGATTTTTGAAAACATCAGGCACTCGTGGACAAGGGCATGTGAAACTAATTCCCAAACCTCAAATATAAATAAATATTCAAGAGGGAAATATTGGAGAAGAATGGTAGCTACTTATAATGGTGGGCAAGTTCTTTTCATTTTATAATGCAAATAATGATAATATGTGTGTGTCTTAACTTATTAACAAGGATACCTATATGAACAAAGAGGATACAATTTAATGAAATTTTTAGAGTCTAATATATATATTAATATATACACACATGGCCAGGTGCGTGGCTCACGCCTGTAATCCTAGCACTTCTGGGAGGCCGAGGTGGGAGGATCACTTTATTGCTCAGGAGTTCAAGACCAGCCTGAGCAAGAGCGAGACCCCGTCTCTACTTAAATAGAAAGAAATTAATTGGCCAACTAATATATAAAGAAAAAATTGGCTGGGCATGGTGGCACATGCCTGTAGTCCCAGCTACTCAGGAGCTGAGGAGGAGGATTGCTTGAGCCCAGGAGTTGGAGGTTGCTGTGAGCTAGGCTGACCCCATGGACTCGTCTAGCCTGGGCACACAAGTGAGACTCTGTCTCGAAAAAAAAAAAAAATGGCATTGATATCAATAAACCACAAAGAGAAATGGCAAATCTCGACATTGCTGAGCATATGATTCAATTGCCAATCCTGTTTCCCAAAATCTGAGGCGATTTTGCTTTTCATTTGGTTTGTCTCAATTGAGTTCATTTATAACATTTACTTTTGAATGTGTTGCAGTTATTCTAATTTGCATTATTGCAATTATTAAAGTAGTTAAAAAGTTAATTTGTCCCATGCGGAACTTAACAATTATCTTTTTTTTTCTTTTTTTTTTTTTTTGAGGACAGGAGTCCTCGCTGTTGCCCAAGTATCAGTGAGTGCGTGGCATTCAGCCTAGCTCACCAGGCAACCTCCAACTTCCTGGGCTCAAGCAATCCTCCTGCCTCAGCCTCCCGAGTAGCTGGGAACCTACAGATGTGCACCCATGCCCGGCCTTAATTTTTCCTCTAGATATTAGTTGGCCAATTAATTTATTTCTTATTATATTAGAGACGGGGTTCTCGCTCTTTGCTTCAGGTGGTTTTCGAACTCCTGACTTGAGCAATCCGCCCCACCTCGGTCCCAGAGAGCTAGGATTACAGAAGCTTGCTTTAGGAATTTCAGAGAGTTGCTAGGATTACAGGCATGAGCCACTGCCGTCGGCCTTAACATTGTTAAAAGTTATAACAAACACCCGCTCCTGGGCTCAAGCGATCCTCCTGCCTCAGCCTCCCGAGTAGCTGGGACTACAGGCATGCACCACCATGCCCGGCTAATTTTTTTTTGTATACATATTTTTAGTTGGCCAATTAATTTCTTTCTATTTGTAGTAGAGACGGGGTCTCGCTCAGGCTGGTTTCGAACTCCTGACCTTGAGCGATCCTCCCACCTTGGCCTCCCAGAGTGCTAATATTACAGGCGTGAGCCACCGCGCCTGGCCATCTGCGGTAATTCAGGGGAACAAAATAACAACTTCCAGAATTTTTTTCTAAAGAAAGCACAATGACTGTCATTGCATGCTCTTATGCAGGGTTTTGGGACTTGGAACACAGCTAGGCAGTGCCCAGCCCACGGCCCTCGGGGAGGGTCCTGCCAAATGGAGTGGAGCAGGTGCGTGGGTGGTGAGCCCCTTGCAGGCGCAGGGAGTCTTACTGAGCAGACGAGAAGAGTCCAGCAGGGATGCTACCAACGATGGCTGGGATTCTGGGCAGCGTTGGGTGAACAGCAGATAATAGAGAATGTAGCCCATCAGCTGGGCCAAACCCGGCAACTGTGAGCCCAGCAGCGTGTGTTGATGGAAGGCCCAAGCAGACGGGGTGGCCCTTACCCTTGAGGACTCTGCCAGCAGCAAGTCCCCGTGTCTGGGGCTCAGGGCCAGGGAGGAGGCCTGGCGGGACGGGCAGGCTCTGTGCTAGGGAGCTGGGGTTCTTTTCAGGTCAGCAAGAAGGCTCAGGCTTAGGGAAATAAACATGGGACGTTTTGGGGTTGGGGTGGGGGTGATCGTGTTCTCAGGAATAAGGTAAAAGCCCAGAAGCTCCAGGCCCAAGTTCAGAGCTGCCCCTTGAGGGCGTGAGTGAGGAGGACCCTGCAGATCAGGAGAGGAAGCGTGCCGGTGCCGCACGGCTGCAGCGTTCCGCACCAAGGACAGGAGGAGCGAAGTGACTTCGGTAGAGGGCAGTTCTGGGGTGTTGTCTGGGGGTGAGCTACTGAGGAGAAAGCATTTAATGGGAACAGACATGCATTTTTCTATTTAATGTGGAGGGGTCCTTGTGTAAGATTTTGACTGAAAAGTCTGCCCCCAGAGAAAGCTCGGCAACGCCTTTGATGATGACAGTGACCACTGCAACTTCAGTTCCTCTCTGGAGAGCTGGAGAGAAGAGGAAATAAATGCCTGGAGTTCAAAGGCGTGACAATGGCTTCAAAAACGCATCAGAACAAAGAACGTTCTCCACAAAGGGTGACAACACAATACCCAGGGGGAAAAAATTATGCCTTCACTGAGGGATTTCATAAGGAGTTACGGCATTTTAGATCCTCAGGAAGTTGGGACAGTTGTATATCCACTGTGACATGCCCATCAGGAAATCAATATAAAAATGTATAAAGGGCCCATTTTGTACACTTTGAAGTCTAGAGGACAGAATAAAGGACTAGGGAAGCCCATTTAAGCTAACTTAAATAATAGAATGTGCATTATGTTTTCAGAACCCAAGGACAGAAAATACAGGGCATTTCAGTACAATTAGAAAAGCAGGAGTGAAGGTTGTTCTCTTTGTCTTGCAGGGGCTTTTGTGGCCTTCTCTGGGGCCTCGTGGCCTCACATCTCTGTGCTTCCTCTTACCTCTCTCTGTCTCTTTCTTCTACTCACTCATGCCATGCCTTGACTGTCAAGCCCATCACACAATATCAATAGTCTTTGTGTGCCCTGGGACAACTGTCTTTGTGTGCCTTGGCTTGGATTTTTAAGAGACAGACTCTGATGGACTCGGCCCAGTCTACAGAATGATTTTCCATGAGTCAGACATCCATCGCCTTTGTTGGGGAGGAGGAGATGCCACAGTTCATGAGGAAGGAGCCAGGTGCAAGGGCCACAGGGCCCAGCACCGTGGAAGGGGTGCAGGTAGGGAGGCAACAGTCGATACTTCCACTGTAGACTGTCATGGCAGCAATGAGGACACCATAATTTGGGGGTTCCCAGGCTACCACACAGTGTGCTGTTCATCGCTGGGCACATTTGAGAAGGCTTTATGAGGTCACTGTGCATGCCTTCCATTTCAGGGGTCACTTTCCCTGGGCAACCCTGGGATTCCAGAACCTTCCTAGATGTTCAGTCTTTTAGCTTCCTAAGAACAGAAACAATATTCCTACAAACACAGTCAATTTGGCTGGTCAAATGTAACTGGCCACAGGAGAACTCAGAGAACGAGCTTGGTCTTGCACTTGACTTGCGATTGCGAGACCAATTGACTTGGCCTTGCATCTGACACAAGCTTCCACCTTGTGGCCGAGAGTGCGGGATCTGGAGTCGCACTCCCAAGTTCAAGTCCTGGCCCCACTACGCGGTGACCATGTGGCCTTGAGCAAGCAATTCAGCTCCTCTAAATCTTAGTTTCCCCGTCTGTGAAAAGTCTGTAATAAAACCACTTGGCGAGAAATAAAACATGCTCAGGGATAGTGAGAAATAGGCTCTGAAAACGTTTTTTTTTTTTTTTATTTTGTATTTGTTATTTTAATAAAGATAGCTTCTTGCTGGATTTTCTCATAGGCTCTGAAAACTTTTTTTTTTTTTTTATTTCGGCATATTAAGGGGATACAGATTTTAAGGTTTCAATAAATGCCCATTTCCCCCCCTGAAAATGGTTTTTGATCCCTAGAAAGTACTCAGTAAATGTCACCAGGATTGCCACTGTCACTGTTAGTCTCCCTCTCCTGTCCTGTGGACCTAAATGAGTTCAGGGCTCTGAGTCAGTGGCTTCCTTCCGTCCCTGCCAGCTCGGGCCCTCGCTCTTTCCTGGAGCTTTGCAGGTACACGTGCTAACACGGGCTTGGTGGTTAAGCAATTGGCTGATGATGTTGTGCCTTGTGCTCTGAGCGGAGGAAATGCTCACAGTCCAAGATGGAAAAGAATGCATGAGCAGCGAAACCTCGACCTGCGTTCAAGCAGTTTTTGCCGAGCACCACAGCGTACGTCTTTCAAACCTTCATTTTGGAGGACTTGCGTATCTGCCCCTCCCCTGAAATGGAAAGAAGACCCCAGATGATTCCTCCAGTTCCTTCGATCTCTAGCAAGGCTGCACTAAAATTGTCACCTTCTGTGCCGAAGAACGTGCAGGCTGTTCTTCGAGACCGTTTGACACGAGACCAGAGAGCGGAAAACCCGCACGCGAGACTTTCACACGGACTCACCCTTTCTTGTTCTTTTCTCTCCCAGGAGCCAAGCCACTCCCGAAGATCATGAACTTGTCTTCCGAGCACTGCAACGCCTCAGACTGGCTGAGGCTGGAGGCAACAGTGAAGGCCTCTGTGTACCTGGTCGCCTTCTCCTTCGCCACGGCCATCACTGTGCTGATAATCGCCGTGGTGTCCCAGAGCCCGAGCCTGCGGAGCGAGGCCCGATACGTGCTCCTCTGCCACCATCTGCTGTGCGTCTCCTCCTGCTGCGGGCTGGGGGCCGTCTTCCAGGGCCTGCGGGCACTGCGGGCCGGCAGCCCCCTGCTGCTGTGCTGGGTGGTATTCGGGGCGCAGCTCAGCGCTGGAGAAGGGATTCTCTTCACCCTGGCCTTGATGGCGCTCAACACTTACGCGGTGATTTGCTGGCCCCTGAGACCCATGCCCTTTGTCGATTCAGTTAAGTATAGGATTCTGGCTGGGGCCTGGGCAGCCGTTATACTCAAGAATGTTTGTTTATTCCTCATAGAGAGCGCCAGCCCCACTGTGGTTTCTGTTTTTAGATCCGAGCCCCTTTGCCCTGTTATTTTGAACGGCGCTGCTGCCAGGGCCATTGGCATGGTTTTCCTGTTCCTTCCGTTGTCTGTCATTCTTGTAAGTTACTCCCTGATATACCAGGAAGGGAAACGTGCTGGCCATTTTAATAGGTCAAATATCAAAGCAAGGAGAACGATCCTTGTTCATTTAGTTCAGATAAGCTTACATGTGGTACCAACTCTCGTATTCATAGGTTTGGGGAAGCTGTGCGGGTTGTTTTACTTTGCCTTAAATCTGGTGCTTTTCGGCGTCTTTGCCTTTGCTCAGTGCTTTAACCCTCTGATCTACGGGCTCTGGAATAAGGAGCTGCAGCGAAGACTGCACCACTGGGTGTGCCGCCAGCGGTGGGGTGGCCACACTGGGAATAGCGGGGTTTAAACAGAAGCTCAGCCGTTTTGAATCAGCAATGCCAGTCCTGTTAGATTCATCAGCTGAGAGTAAGGACTTGCCTTTCACTTAACCTAAAATTGGAGCCTTGATTTGATTTTAAAAGCAATATGAGTAAGTCAAAGTTATTTGTTTGGCTTACAGTCTTCACTCTTGTGTACATTCAATTGGCCTCAGTGAAATCATTTTTGTGTCTTTAGTGCATGTTTTCTACCAACATGCATTTTTGGTAGAATGTCCTAATGTGTTTGAGTAGTTAGGCAGCTCTTGAGAATGTACTTGTTTTTAGAAACTGAGAAATTGTGGTCGCTATGAAGATAAGAAATTGGCTATTCCACTTATATTAATTAGAGGTAGGTTGGGCTACATATAACAATGGAAACAGGAACAAAGTATCAGTGCCTTCAAAAAGTTAAATTTGTTTCTTTTGTAAAAGGAATCTGGAGGTACACTATCCAAGCGGCTGAGGCAGCGCTGCAGTCAACATACTTATTCTCTTCTGCTGTGCCATGATTAGTGTGCCACCTCATGACCCAAAAGGGCTGTTGTTGCTCCTTCTATCACATTCCAACCAATAGAAAGAAGGAGCAAAGACAGGACTGTGCCTTCCTTCTGCTTGGAGTATTGAGTGCTAAGTGGTAGTCTTATAATTTCAAATGCAAATTATTATTTAAAAATAAAAAGTTTTTTGAATTAAAAATTTATATAGAGTAAAATTCAAAAGGTTGAAAACAATATTTAGTAAAAACAAGTCTTTCTCTTCCCCATTTTCCTAGGTCCCCAGCTCTCTTCTAAGAGTCAACAGATATTATCAGGTTTTTTTTGTGTGTGTTTTCCTCAAGAAATGATCTACAAAAGGCAAATTAATTGAGAATTTCTCCTTTGTAAGATAATTTTGGTTTTGATGTCTTGGATTTGGATTGGAAAGTTGTTTAAATTGGTATTTAGAGTAATAGTAGTTTATGTCATTAATAATAGTTCATGACACAGCAGTAACCAATTTCATAATGTGAAAATTCTTTGTACCCTCAGGGAAACTTAAACTTGGGCAAGATGCAAAAGGGAAGGGGAGAGAGGAAGTGGTGGCTACAGTTACTTGAAATTAGTTGAGAGTTCTTATAAAATGTTCTTTTCTCACATACAAATGGTGCAATGATACTGAGTTTAAAGTCAGAAAGTGTGGGGGTTTAGGGCAAATGTTCAGAGAAGACACAGTTTTCAAATAGCTCTAAGTAAATACTTAAGGAAATATTGTGAATTATCTCAAAATTTCCAAGTTCTTATGGATAGTTCATTTACCACAATTGCAACCACACAATTACTGCAGGAAACTATTTCTGCCATATATACATATATATGCAATGTAAAAACATATTGATTAACTTAAGAATAAAGTTGGGCAAAATCTATAAAAGCAAGAATAGAAAAGTAGTCGTTCATAATACTCATTATAGGGAAATGTTGAATGAATCCACCCCATTGTTTAGAAGAAGTTTAAAGCTATAAAGGCAGCCAGGCATGGTGGCACACGCTATAGTCCTAGCTATTGCGTGGGGCGGGGCGGCGGGCATGCCTGGGCCAGGCGGGTCGCTTGAGCCAGGGAGTTTGAGGCTACAGTGAGCTATGATTGCAACACTCGAGCCTGAGTGACAGAGTGAGACCGTGTCTCTTACAAAAATAAAAAGACTGTAAAATCAGCCACACTTATACATTTTAAGCAGTTTTTTTTCTCTGAGAAGGTCGTCCGTGTCAGCAGTCCCCAACCTTTTTGGTACCAGGGACTGGTTTTCATGGAAGACAATTTTTCCATGGACAGGTGATGGGGGGATGGTTTGGGGATGGTTCTAGCGCATTCCATTTATCGTGCAGTCAAACCTCTCTGCTAATGAGGATCTGTGTTTGCAGCCGCTCCCCAGCGCTGGCATCACCACCTCAGCTCCACCTCGGATCATCAGGCAGTAAATTCTCTTAAGGAGTGAGCAACCTGGCTCCCTCGAATGTGCAGTTGACAGCAGGGTCCGCGCTCCTATGAGAACCTAATGCTGCTGCTGATCTGACAGGAGGCGGAGCTGATGCCGCGACCTAGATGGGGAGCGGAGGTACATACAGGTGGAGCTTCCCTCACCTGCGCTCCTGCTGTGCAGCCCGGTTCCTAACAGGCCATGGACGGGTACTGGTCTTCGGCCTGGGGTTTGGGGACCGCAGGTCTCTGTGGCTGGAACTGCCCGTGTGATGGCCGAGCAAAGACATACATGTGCAGTGCAGAGAAAACTGCAGGTCTACCACTGGCGGGGGTGGGGAAAGGATGCCAGAGTGTTCTTGTGAGCCAGGAGGACTTAAGGGAAGGGTCTGGCCTTGGGGTTGTTGGAAAAGACCTGTCTAAAACGCTTCATGCCAAAGGAGAGAGGCTGCAGCACAAAGAGGCTGGAGGTTACCGCTGGCAGCAGAGGATGAAAAGGGAGTGAGAAGCTCTTGTCCAGAGACAAGGATTGCCCAGGGCTCCAGAGGATCGCAGGACCTGCAGCGGAAAAGAAAGGTCATCACTGGGAATCTGCCCTACCCGGAAGATGCGAGCATCATATTTCCTCTGCTTTTTCAAAGGGTGGTCTTTCCTGCCCCTTCCATCTCCTCCCAACCTCCCTCTTCTGACTCTGGGGCAGTCACAGGCGACCTGGGTGTAAGGGACGCTGATTAGAAGCCTTAACTCCCTCTGCAGCTTGAATTCTTTGCAACGTGGCATAACATGTCTACAGATCCACATAAAGGTTCTGGGCGTTAGGACGGGGACGCCTTTGCGGGAGTGGGGGCATTATTCAGCCTGCCATGTTTACTAAAGCCAGGCTGTTCTTTGAAGCTGAAAATGACTGTGGGATTTTTTGTCATTTAAGAGTGACTAGGCGGAGCGCGGTGGCTCACGCCTGTAATCCCAGCACTCTGGGAGGCCGAAGCGGGAGGATCACTTGAGCTCAGGAGTTTGAGACCAGCCTGAGCAAGAGCGAGACCCCGTCTCTACTAAAAATAGAGAAAATTAGCTGGGTGTCATGGCATGCATCTGTAGTCCCAGCTACTTGGGAGGCCAAGGCAGAACGATCGCTTGAACCTAGGAGTTTGAGGTTGCTGTGAGCTAGGCTGACGCCACGGCACTCTAGCCAGGGCAACAGAGTGAGACTCTTGTCTCAGAAAGAAAGAAAGCAAAAAGAGTGACTAGATAAAATATAAATCAAAACCACAATGAGATACCTCCTCACACCCATAAGGATGTCAACAGCAAAAAACAAAACAAAACAAAAACCCTAGAAAATAAATGTTGGCACAGATGTGGAGAAATTGGAACCCATGTGCCCTGTTGATGGGATTATAAAATGGTGCAACTGCTATGGAAAACAGTATGGATGTTCCTCAAAAAATAAAAAATAGAATTATCATGTGATCCAGCAATCCCATTTCCAGGTACATATCTGAAACATTTGAGATCCACGAATAAATCTCTTTAAAATTTATGTTACGAGTTTGGCTTTTTCCATTGGACACTCATGTTGAACAGGCTGCTCGTAGGGCAGGGCTCTCTGCAAGCAGCACTGCTCCCTGGTCCGGTTCAGGTAGTCAGAACCTATACCCAAGCCCCAGGGGCTACATCCCGACCTTTGGCAGGATGTTTCTACTCTAGGCTCAGCTTCTGTCCTGAAATACCTACAGTCAAAACACACTTACCTGAAAAATTAAATTTCCTTCTAACTCCCTTCCTGATTCCCAGGAAAGATTCACAGTCCTCCTACTTCCTTTCTTCTGTTGAAATATCTACATCCTCCTCTGTTTCACCAAACGCCATTTCTTGCAACAACTAAGCCTGGTTTGGGCTTTAATATGCTAAAGACAGGGCGGGCGGCGGTGGCTTCACGCCTGTAATCTAGCACTTGGAGCGAGGCGGGCGGATTGCTCAAGGTCAGGAGTTGAAACCAGCCTGAGCGACGACCGTCCTACCCAAATAGAAATAATTAATTGACAACTAAAAATATATATACCAAAATTAGCCGGGCATGGTGGCGCATGCCTGTAAGTCCAGCTACTGGGAGGACTGAGCAGGAGGTATCGCTGAGCCCGGAGATTGAGGTTGCTGTGAGCCAGGCTGAATGCCCACGGCACCACTTCTACCTGGGCAAACAAGTGAGACTCTGTCTCAAAAAAAAAAAAAAAATATGCTAAAGACAGGTCCGCCCTCCAGCTCTGGATTTATATAAAGTTTTCTTTCACAGACAATGGAACGCCCAGCCCCAAATTAATCAGCTGAATTCAGAAGGGAAGAGCGACATCCGATCCTAACCACATTTGCAAAGTGCCTGGCAGACAGTAGCAACTGAATAGCGCCAAGCACTGCTAGGGTGTGGGAGAAGAACAGTCCTTCCCGGGGCCTGCACCTCAGGTCCTCCCTCCGACGCCTCGCCCTGGGCCCCTGAGACTGAGTCCTCAATCAGCTTGTGCATCTGTCATGCACAATGGGTCAGAATCAGTGACCCCAGTCTAAGGCCCAGCGTGACCCCCAAAGAGAACAGTGACGCCAGCCCCAGCCCAGGAGGGCAGCTGCTGGGGACCGAGGTGTGCTCCTGAGACCGGCCTGGAAGGAAAAAGCTGAAAAGGGACTCAGACGGCACACAGCTCACTGCACTTAAAGAGGGATTGCGGACGACCTGTGCCTGGCTTGTCCCCCGGCAGTACTGCTGGCCCGAAGGGATCTTAAGAGCTAGAGCCTTTGATGTGAAGTCATCCGGCTGGCTCCTAGACCATCCTGGTCACTGGAGATCAAGTGCAGAGAGAGATCAATGATGAGGTGACCGTCTTTGAATTCTTAACCCATTTCTCCGTAGTGGAAGGGAGAGGGTGCGTGCTAAGCTTACGTTAAAGCTCTTGCTCCTCCTCAAAAACATGCGGCACTGCTCTCACGCCTCAGCACTGAGGGCGCTGGGACACACAGAGGCCCCTGGGGCCTCATCTTTGCCTCGGGCCACGGGAACTGATAATCTCGCAGGGAGTGAGTGCTTGATGGGCACTCTGGCTCTCCAGGAGTCAGCTCTGCCATCCTGTCACCACAGTGCTCTCTGGAGGTGCAGGTGGTGGCACAGCTAGTGGCGTG